TTAAAAATGGAAACTATCTCGTCATCTAAAGCAAARTCTTTGAAGGTTGTGCTTGATGGTCCATGTGGTACAGGAAAATCAGTATTACTTCATCGTTTGGTCTCTGGCGAGTTTCGCATGGTTCCAGCAACCATTMATTCTACATATGAATGTAAACATTTCGAGGTCGATGGTACTGAGTTTCGCATTGAGATCTGGGACTTGAATGGGTTAGAGTCGAGTGTTTTTGAAGAAAACCGTTTTATCTACAGAGATGCAGACATTATTATCGCATTTTTTGACATTTGCAGACCAGAAACACTTGAAAGCGTCATACTTACTAGGATTCCATATTTCCATGCGTTTCCAACACCTATTCTTTTGGTTGGTCTAAAGAGTGACTTAAGGCAAGATTCTTCACAGGCCAATCTTCCCCTATTTCCATACGAGTTTGGCCCGTGGCTCGCTCATCTCGTAGATGCAGTGAAGTACATGGAGTGCTCTGCTAAAACAAACCAGTGTGTCCTGGAGGTTTTTGAAGAAGCAATTCGCGCCTGTCATGAAAACAGAAACTATTGTNNNNGTACCAATATGTGATGCGAATATGGTATTCAAATACTTTATATATTGTACCTAGAGTCTGTCTATTAATATATATACGAGCCTTAACAGTGTTAGATATAGAGTCATGCCTACTTCCGCTTGTGTCTGGTATTTGCGAAAAATAAGGCACGTTGCGGCTTCAATCAGCTATCAAGTATCGGTTTATATCTCGTCAAGGAAAATGCACTATTTGGCACGATACACCAACCTTTATGACCTAAACCAATGTTTTAATATATGCTCTTATACAGATGAATGTTTTAGAATATCAAAAGGCCTCGCATATCAAAGAATTACTACAAAAACTACAGTTAAACTCCAGGGTAGTAACTGTTGCAGTAGTTCCTAATGTGATATTTCGTATAGAGATCGGAGGGCGATCGGGAGACCCGAAGCCAAACTTCTGACATGAAAAAAAAAAAACAAAAAACAAAACTATACGCATTGCATTTTATGACTCGTGCCCCGACCTAGGGCTTGGGCCCGAGTAATAATGAATATTTGAATCCAAGAATCAATTCAATATTCATGAATGATCACCACGTGTTCACGCTTCAGGTAGTTTGACTGTAAGTGAAATCACACATTTATAACTAGAAATCTAAGACTTGGGACTGATGGACTGGGGCTAGTGGACTTTTTCCCCATTACTGCGTATCGGTTAGAATATTTCAAGTATACTGTTTAAAACACGATTTAAAAAAACTCCAACACTAATTCAAAACTTAAATCAGTTACAATTCTTGGAGAAATTGCCGTAAAAATACTATTTTTGAGATAAATGAGGCAAACTGATCATGGGCGAATCACTTTACAAAACACTTTTGTCATCCCACATTGAATACGCATAAAGTAAAATAGAAGTGCTGATGGCTGTTTTACTGCAATCGTTTGACATCCTTCACTTGTCAACATCCTTCACTGGTCAATGATTATGTATCAAACCTGAGACCTTTGCTAGGGTCATGGACCTTTATATCTGATAAAGGTCACCCTTATTAGTATTCTTTATGTAGTGTATAAAGAATACTAATAAGGAGTGTTTTATCAGATATAAAGGTCCATGCATGTGACCAAATAGGCTCATTCTATTGGCCTAATAACTCATTAATTATGTATATAGCTGTGATTAAAAAAACTTATTTTCAGGAAAATTGACTACTTGAAAAATGGAAACTATCTCGTCATCTAAAGCAAAGTCTTTGAAGGTTGTGCTTGATGGTCCATGTGGTGCAGGAAAATCAGTATTACTCCGTCGTTTGATCTCTGGCCAGTTTTCTATGATGCAACCAACCATAGGTTTTGCATATAAACGTTTTAAGGTCAATGGCGTTGATTATAAAGTTAGGATCTGGGACTTGAATGGATTAGACCAGACTGTTTTTAGCGCAAATTATTTTTACTACAGAGATGCAGACATTATTATCACATTTTTTGACGTTTGTAACCCAACAACACTTGAAAGTGTCCTAACTTATAGGATTCCATATTTCCATACGTTTTCAAAACCTATTCTTTTGGTTGGACTAAAGAGTGACTTACGGCAAGATTCATCCAAGGCCAGTCTTACCCTATTTCCATACGAGTTTGGCCCGAGTCTCGCTCATCTTGTAGGCGCAGTGAAGTACATGGAGTGCTCTGCTAAAACAAACCAGGGTGTCCAGGAAGTTTTGGAAGAGGCAATCCGCACCTGTCATGAAAAGAGAAACTATTGTGGAATAGTTAATGATACCATAAAAGGTTTGCTGCTCTCCACAATATCCATGAATAGACGGTGGAAGTACATCATCGAGATAGCACAGACATTACAAATGTTACCTCCAATTAACCCAAAGCTGAGAGACCAACTGCAATGGCTTGAAGCGGAGTTCTGTGCTTCATTATCTAATGATATTAGTTTCCGGGATACATGTGATGATGGTTTTGCTCTTATTATTCATAGAACTCTAGCCATTCACGCATTTCTTTTAGAAAATTGTGATGTTGATATTGATTTCATTCGATTCAAGTATTCAAACCCAGGTATGTTATTATGGTCCCCTGATGAGCTCCGTATGGAGACTGGGACTGTTGGAGAGCTGATAAAGTGTGCTTCTGATATAAAAAACAATATTTTTTTGAAGTTTGCTAAAGAGAATTGCTCTTCAATTACTGACTTCTTTGGTGCGTGTGAATCAAAATATGTTAACAGTTTAGTGATTGTCAGCTGTGTTGGAACTCTTAACCTTGGCTTCTTATCAGCATTAGAAAGATTGCACAATCTGATCGTCATTGATACTGCAGTTGATTTATCCAAACTCTCGTTCTCCCTCAAAGTTAACTCTTCCCTGAAGTGTCTCATTCTGAACAAATGCCATACTCACATCCGAGAACTCCCTGCCATCATAGGAATGCTAAGCCAGTTGGAAGTTCTCGATGTTACCTGTAGCAGTTTCAAGATCCTTCCAGAATCTCTATGTCTTCTTGACAATCTTCGCAAACTGCGATGCAACCACGATCAAATCGTCTTTCCACCCAAAAATGTGTTGCAAAAGTCTGCACAGGAAGTTGTTCAGTATCTCAAAGCTTTTATAAAGTTACTTAATAATCGTTACAATCGCTAGGATCGCCACGATCGCCGAAATTATGTGGCTCAACCGTAACGATCATATGGAAACACCTTTTAGCGATCTCGATCGCTGGAATCGCTCAGATTCGAGATCAGATCGAGGTCGCTAGGATCGCTGGAGAGTGCTTCCATATGATCACTACAATCGCATTTTTAAAAATGATTTGTTGAGTCAAAACTTACATCCAGATGTTTATTATTATCTGTCCTTACCATTATGAAGTCGATTGATATTTTTATTTTGCAATTAGACGGTTTTGAGAAGTCATAGTCACGCGATGTTTATGTCAATTTT